AGTTGTATTTAAATCGTGATAGCTCTATATTATGCCACATTTGCCGGAGAATAATTTACACTGATTATGATAAGCTTGCAAAGGTTCTCTGGGTGCGATTGGGCGGTCTCGGGAGGCTCCATCTCAGTTAACATATTCGTCAAGAGTTGTAGGGGGGAAGCCATTCACCACGACCCACGAAATATGTACCATTTGAAGTTCCACAGCGCAAGTACGGAAGTGCAATTACCTCCGGACCACATCCAAATCGCTTTAGACAACTAATCCCTTTGTGACTAGGACCGGTGCACCTAGTCAACACAGACGAATGTTACGTGTTTGGGACGTATTTAACCAACGCTGCGAAAGTGGTTCGCAGATCCTAGCAGAGCTGACCCGAAGGCGGGACGTTCCCCGTGTAATTCAAATAGGTACGACGAAAACGTAGCCCACGCCACACCCCGGTATGGCATCAACGGGTAGACCAATCTGGTAGTGAGTGAGCCCTCGAACTCTTGGTAACAGAAATTATTCACCAGGAAACACACTTCGAGCGTGGGCCACCCACAACTTGTCGATTTTCCCAAAAAACTGATGATCATCCTGAGTCGACCGCCTTAGGGCGCCCGGCACCGGCGTCACCTGTGACGGCCCTACGCCACAGCCACAGGGTGATTGACAGGCTAAGAAACCTGAACGCACCAAAACGTGTCAGGGACTGAGCGATTTCGCTCCAACCGATAAAATAGACCAGACGTCTCAACCCCAAAGCAAAATCCACTATCGAGCTGTGCGGATGCGATCTAGAATTGAAAGTGCACGAATGCGCACTCAGCTACTAGTGCAAAGCAAATAACTACGAGAATGAACTTCCGCATAGCCAGAGAGACAGCAAAACCAAACCCGAATGTCACCAAAAACCACTGAACCAAAAAAGGCGAAAAAAATGCAACACACCGCAGCCAATGCGGAGAGCGCAATTATTCCAGCCACGACGGACGCCAAAAAAACAAGTCATGCGAACATGGGCAACGATTTAATATTTAAAAGAATGAGCAAAAAACGCCTAACAAATCCGGGAATGTCTACAAAAAAAGAACAAATGAATAAAACATCAGAAACAAGAGATTCGAATCAAAATTCATTAGAGGTGTCG